CCCCCCATCCCCTCTGTCCCTGTGTCCCCCCATCCCCTCTGTCCCTGTGTCCCCCCATCCCCTCTGTCCCTGTGTCCCCCCTGTCCCCCAGCCCGGGCCAAGGGCCGGAGCCCTGCGGGCACTTTGTGACCTCGTCCCGCTGCTGGCTTTGTCACACGATCGATGGCCCCGTGGCGAGCGGCCACCGAGCCCTGCCAGGCGCCCGGGGGGGCCACCCCGCACCCCCCAGGCGACACCGAACTGGTGGCTGTCGCTGATCCGATGGCACCGATGGCGGGTCACACCTGGGATCGGGGATGGGCAGCGGCGGGACACGGACGGGCTGGCCTGGGGACACCGGGGAGGGGCTGTGTGACACCTCCTTGGGGGGGGCTGTGTGACACCTGGGGGGACTGTGTGACACCTGGGAGGGGCTGTGTGACACCTTGGGGGGGTCTGTGTGACACCTTGGGGAGCTGTGTGACACCTCGGGGGGGCTGTGTGACACCTGGGTGGAGGGGCTGTGTGACACCTTGGGGAGGTCTGTGTGACACCTGGGGGGGGGCTGTGTGACACTTGGGGGGGCTGTGTGACACCTGGGGGGGGCTGTGTGACACCTGGGGGGGTCTGTGTGACACCTGGGGGGCTCTGTGAACCCCTCGGTTCCCAGTGACACCTGGAGGTGCTGTGTGACACCTGGGGGGGGCTGTGTGACACCTTGGGGGGGTCTGTGAACCCCTCGGTTCCCTGGTGTGCCAGGTGAGACCCCCGCCCTCCTGCACCCCCTGGGTGCCCTCCCAGCCCTGCCCAGGGCTCAGCTGGCAGAGCTGGCAGGGTGTTGGTGGTTTGTCCCGTCCCTGAGTCACCGGGGGCAGTGTCCCCAGGGTCCCCAGTGTCCCCAGCCCTGCAGTGTGCTGGGAGCTCTGCAGTCCCCCAGCCCTGCAGGGGCCCCTCGGGGATGTTCTGTCTGTCCATCCCACCCCAGGTCTGGGCTTTGCCTCCTGCTCAGGGCAAAGCCTCCTCCAGCACCATCCCAGGTGAGTCCTGGGTGGGATTTGAGGTTTAGGAACCCCCACCTGCCTTTCACCTTGGCCCCACACCTATCCCTGTTTTCAGACCCCTCCTTTCCCCCCCAGCTCCTCAGGGAAGCGTTCCGTGCTGGTTTCCAAGGGCAGAGCAGAGAGCTCTCCTCCCGGGGGGCTCCGAGGGGCCGTGGGGGATGATTTCCCTCACCTGGCTGCCAGCAGCTGCCCGGGCTTAGCAGCAAATCCCAAATCCCGTTTTATCCTCCTTGTGCAGGTGCTGCTGTGCAGGGTCAGGGCAGGGGGTGGCACCGAGGTGGCTCCTCAAGGATTGCTGCTGTTTGCTCGTGGGAAACGTTTTGGGGTTTGCTGTGCTGCCTTGGGGGGCTGCAGGGGAGGCAGCACCTCGTGCCTGAAGGGCTGCTGTTCCTCCTCTCCCAGCTGGGTCCCTGCCCCATCTCCTGCTGCAGCCGGGGGTGCCGCTGTGACTTTGTGACCCCCAGAGCCTTCCCTGTGTCCCCAGAGCTGCCTGAGAACTGGACAGACACGCGGGAGACGCTGCTGGAGGGGATGCTCTTCAGCCTCAAGTACATGGGCATGACCCTGGTGGAGCAGCCCAAGGGAGAGGAGCTCTCTGCAGCCGCTGTCAAAAGGATCGTGGCCACCGTGAGTGTCCCCTGCTGGCCCCGAGTGGCCCCTGCTGGCCCCGGGGGAGTCCCACGGGGAAGAATTTCAGAGCTGCAGCTGGGGGGAGCCAGGATTGCAGCTCCAGGGGTTTGGGATTGCATCTCCAGGGGAAACTGGGACTGCAGCTCCAAGGCAGTTGGGATTTGCAGCTCCTGGGTTTGAGATTTGCAGCTCCAGGGAAATTGGGATTTGCAGCTCCAGGGAAGTTGGGATTTGCAGCTCCAGGGGAATTGGGATTGCAGCTCCTGGGGAAATTGGGATTTGCAGCTCCATGGAAATTGGGATTGCAGCTCCAGGGGAAATTGGGCTTGCAGCTCCTGGGGAAATTTGGATTGCAGCTCCAAGGCAATTGGGATTGCAGCTCTGTGGGTTTGAGATTTGCAGCTCCAGGGAAATTGGGATTTGCAGCTCCAGGAGGATTGGGATTGCAGCTCTTGGGGAAGTTGAGACTGCAGCTCCAGGGAAGTTGGGATTTGCAGCTCCAAGGCAATTGGGATTTGCAGCTCCATGGGGTTGGGATTTGCAGCTCCAAGGCAATTGGGATTGCAGCTCCGGTGGGTTTGGGATTTGCAGCTCCAGGGGAAATTGGGGTTGGGGCTGCAGCCCCTCCAGGGGCTGGGTGGAGCTGCAGACAGCTCCAGGCACTGGAGGCCCCTGGGCAGCCCAGGCTGTGCGTGGGGCTCTCTGGGCAGGGCTGGTGTGTGCCTGAGCTCTGGCTCTGATAAGCCAGGCTGTGTGAGGAGGCTCTGACCTGCTGGGGCCAGCCTGCCCCGGGGCTGGCTCAGGGCAGGGACACAGCCTGGAGCGTGGCCAGTGCTGCTCTGGGCTTTGCTGCCAGGCTTGGGAGGGCAGAGAGGGGAAGGGAGCAGGGCAGATCCCAGCCAGTGTCCCACTGTAACCTCAGGGGGGTGGATTTCCTGAATCCCCCAATTCCCAGCCCTCTTCCAGAGCATTCCCAGCCATCCCCCAATTCCCAGCCCTCCTCCAGCCCATTCCCAGCCATCCCCCTAATTCCCAGCCCTCCTCCAGAGCATTCCCAGCCATCTCCCTGATTCCCAGCCCTCCTCCAGTTCATTCCCAGCCATCCCCCAATTCCCAGCCCTCCTCCAGCCCATTCCCAGCCATCCCCCAATTCCCAGCCCATTCCCAGCCATCCCCCAATTCCCAGCCCATTCCCAGCCATCCCCCAATTCCCAGCCCATTCCCAGCCATCCCCCAATTCCCAGCCCATTCCCCCAGTTCCCAGCCTGCTCCCCAATCTCTGGGTACCATTAAGGCTTTTTGAGCCCCTGTAAAAGTGAACGAGGCAGAGCCCCAGCTGTGCCACAGAGCCCAGTGGGATGGGGAGTGCTGGATCCTCTCCTGGATCCAGGGCAGGAGGGAATTGCAGAGCCCTCCCCATCTGCCCTGATGGACGGGGAGTGGAGCCCTTAAATAAAGCCCTGGGGCTGGGGCAGGCTGCTCAGGGCAAGGCTTTGAGGTCCCCAAGGGACCCAAAATCCCTCAGGGAGTGGGGCAGAGGATTCCAGCCCGGCCCTAGCTGGGTGTGAGGGAGGGCAGGGAAGGGTTAACCAGCCCCTCCTGGCAGCAGAGTGCCTCCCCAGGCTGCTCACACACCTTTGGAGGTGCCAGTGCTCAAAGCCTGGGGCTTCCCCTCCCTCTTTCCCTGCCAAAGGCCAAAGCCAGTGGAAAGAAGCTGCAGAAGGTGACCCTGAAGGTGTCACCCCGGGGGATTGTGCTCAGGGACAGCAGGACCAACGAGCTCATCGAGAACATCTCCATCTACAGGTGGGTGCTGGCTGCTCTCCTGTGCCCCAGGACTCTCCTCTGGCCTGCTCTTCACCCCTGGCTGCTGCACAGGGCTGGGGAGGCTCCAGGGAGGAGGCTGAGCCTTCCTCCCACATCCCCTGAGCTCAGGGAGCTTGGAGCAAATCCCACACCTGGATCCCATCCTGGGCACCCCTGCATCAGCTCCTGTCCCTGCCTTGAGGCTGAGGATGAAATCCGAGGCTGAGAACAGCTCCTTTCTCCCTCCTTACCCTCCAGGGAAAGCCTGAGCCAGCCTCTCTCCTGGAGGCAGAGCAGTGTGAGGTGCTGCTCTGCTGGAATCCTCCCCTTCTCTAGCCTGTCCTGTCCCACAGTGTGAAAAAAAAACAACATTTCTCTTCTCTTCTCTTCTCTTCTCTTCTCTTCTCTCTTCTGCCACCTCTCCTTGTGCTGTCCGTGCTCTTCTCTCCCTGCCATCCCCTGGTGCCATCCCCTGGTGGCATCCCCTGAGCTGGGCAGCTGCTGCTGCAGCCCCAGCAGCTTGTGGGGCTGTCCCCAGAGCCCAGCCCGGGCTGTGCTGTGTCTTTCAGGATCTCCTACTGCACAGCAGACAAGGCCCACGACAAAGTGTTTGCCTACATTGCCCAGAGCCAGCTGAGCGAGAGCCTGGAGTGCCACGCCTTCCTGTGCACCAAGAGGAAAATGGTCAGTGAGGAAGAGGAGGGGCTGCAGGGCTGGGAGGAGGGCTCAGGCACGGCTCATCCCAGCTGGAATGGGGCTGGCTCCGTGCCTTGGCTGCTGGAAACCTCTCTGGGGTGAGGCTGGGGTGACCCTGCACCAGGGCCTGGAGAGCCCTGCCCTGCTGCAGCCCTGCCCTGGCACCTCCTGAGCCCTGCCCTGGGCACCTCCTGAGCCCCTGGGCATCTCCTGGGCACCTCCTGAGCCCCTGGGCATCTCCTAAGCCCTGCCCTGGGCACCTCCTGAGCCCCCTGGGCATCTCCTAAGCCCTGCCCTGGGCACCTCCTGAACCTCTGGACATCTCCTGAGCACCTCCTGAGCCCTGCCCTGGCATCTCCTGAACCCCTGGGCACCTCCTGAGCCCCTGGGCATCTCCTAAGCCCTGCCCTGGGCACCTCCTGAGGCCCTGGGTATCTCCTGGGCACCTCCTGAGCCCCTGGGCATCTCCTGGGCACCTCCTGAGCCCTGCCCTGGCATCTCCTGAGTTCCCTGGGCACCTCCTGAACCTCTGGGCATCTCCTGAATCCCGTGGGCACCTCCTGAGCCCTGCCCTGGACATCTCCTGGGCACCTCCTGAGCCCCTGGGCATCTCCTGGGCACCTCCTGAGCCCTGCCCTGGCATCTCCTGAGCCCCTGGGCACCTCCTGAGCTCTTGGTCACCTCCTGGGCACCTCCTGAGCCCTGCCCTGGCACCTCCTGAGCTCCCTGGGCACCTCCTGAATCCCGTGGGCACCTCCTGAATCCCCTGGGCATCTCCTGGGCACCTCCTGAGCCCTGCCCTGGGCATCTCCTGGGCACCTCCTGAGCCCCTTGGGCAGGCAGGGTTGGGCAGGAGGTGCCCAGGGCACCCAGCCCCAGCTCCCTGCACAGTTTTAGTGACATCTCTGGGGCTGTGTCCTGCCCTGGGGCCCAGAGCAGGGGCCTGGCAGTGGGAAGGGCTCTGGGCTGAGCTCTGACCCTCCTGGCACCTCTCCCTGCCCACCCCGTGCCCCAGCATGGGAAGGGAGCTGGGACAGAGAGAGGAGAGGGGCAAGGAGAGCCCTGGGGTGTCTGGTGGAGCAGAGCTGGCACTGAGCCCCCTCCCTGTGCCACGAGGGGCCTTTAGGGGAGAGGAAGGGCAGGGGAGACCCCTGTGCCCCCCAAATCCTTCCCTGGTGTCCCAGACCCCTCTGAGGCCGCTCCCAGCCTGGTCCTCAGCAGCATCCCCGTGCCACCCCAGCTCTGTTAATATTCTCTGCCTCTCCCAGCTCCTTTTCTTCCCTTGGAGAGAAGAATGGGAGCTACAAGTTGTCTCTCCTTTGCTCAGCGTGTGCTCCCATCCTTGCACGGCCAAGATAAGCCTGGCTCTGCAAATTAAAATTTAAATCTTCCTGCTGCTAAAAGAATTATCTCAGTGCTGCATCAGCTCAGTGCATCCCCCTCCAAATAAAGTTCTCCAAAGGCTTTTGTGGCAAAAACTAGGAATAATTTCCTTTTTCCTGCTCTGTAAAATGCAGGAACATCCTGCTGCTGAGGTGATCCCTGCTCCCAGACTGGAGGCAGCCCTCCCCAGGGCAGGGGCCCTGGGTGCACCACAGCTCCCAGTCACAGGCATATAATTAGTCCATATTTTTAGTTCCTGGGTAATTCTCGACAGTAGCTGGGTCTATTAAACTTGATTCAGATGTGACAGCCTAAATTGTAAACAGCTGTGAGGAGTTTCATACTTAATTACCATATTTAAGGGTTGGTTGTTTTTTTTTTTGCCATCAAGCATTTGCACTTCCATCAAGGATGTAAATAGCTCCAAGATTCCAAGAGCTCCAGCCTTAATTGGCACTGCTGGCTCTGGGGGGCTCCGTGCCCCCCTGCCTGGCTTTGGGGGGTGCTGTGCCCTGTCTGTGTCCCCCCATGTCCCCGGGGCTGCCAGGGCAGCAGCTCCAGCCCCGGGGTTGGCTTTGTTGTGATCACAGCTGGGGAAAGGAAACTGCTGTTGGTGGCACCTCTGTCCCTGCAGGATGTGGCATTTCTGCTCCTGTTGTTGGTGGCACCTCTGTCCCTGCTGGAGGTGGTGGCATTTCTGCCCTGCTGGAGGTGGCACCTCTGTCCCTGCTGTTGGTGGCATTTCTGTCTCTTTCTGTCCCTGCTGGAGGTGGTGGCACCTCTGTCCCTGCTGTTGGTGGCACCTCTGTCCCTGCTGTTGGTGGCATTTCTGTCCCTGCTGTTGGTGGCACCTCTGTCCCTGCTGGAGGTGGTGGCACCTCTGTCCCTGCTGTTGGTGGCATTTCTGTCCCTGCTGGTTCCTCAGCAGGGCTGGCAGGGGGGCTGTCCCTGCTCCTGTCCCCAGGCTGGCACAGGACAAACCCCCCCTGGGACAGCCTGGGGGTCCCTGCTGGGCTCTCAGAGCTCCAGGGCTGATCCTGGTGGGTGTCACAGCTCTCCCTGGCTGTGATTTGGGCTGTGGGCAGCACGGAGAGGCTGCTCGGGGCAGCTGCCCTGTCCCCTGCCCTGTCCCCTGCCCTGTCCCCTGCCCTGTCCCCTGTCCCTGTCCCCATCCCAGCCCTGTCCCAGCCCTGTCCCCTGTCCCAGCCCTGTCCCCATCCCAGCCCTGTCCCTGCCCTCCTGGCTCCCAGGGACGTGTCCCACCCGGAGCAGCCCCAGCTCTGCAGGCTTTGGTGGCTCTGCCAGCTCCTGCTCAGAGCCAGGGGAGCTGCAGCTGCACAGATGGCAGAGATCTCAGGGCCTTCAGTGATTGATCCCAGGGGTTTCAGTGATTGATCTGAGGGGCTTCAGTGATTGATCTCAGTGATGTCATTGATCTCAGTGGTTTCAGTAATTTCAGTAATTTCAGTGACTGATCTCAGTAATTTCAGTGATCTCAGAGGTTTCACTGATTGTGATCTCAGTGATGTCATTGATCTCACTGATTTCAGTGATTGATCTCATTGATCTCAGTGATGTCAGAGGTTTCAGTGACTGATCTCAGTGATGTCACTGATGGCAGTAATTCCAGTGACTGATCTCAGTGATGTCAGAGGTTTCATTAATTGATCTCATTGATCTCAGTGATTTCAGTGATTGATCTCAGTGATTTCAGAGGTTTCATTAATTGATCTCAGTGATCTCAGTGATCTCAGAGGTTTCAGTGATTGATCTCAGTGATCTCAGAGGTTTCATTAATTGATCTCATTGATCTCAGTGATTTCAGTGATTGATCTCAGTGATTTCAGAGGTTTCATTAATTGATCTCAGTGATTTCAGTGATTGATCTCAGTGATCTCACTGATGTCAGTAATTCCAGTGACTGATCTCAGTGATGCCAGAGGTTTCATTAACTGATCTCAGTGATGTCAGAGGTTTCAGTGACTGATCTCAGTGATGTCACTGATGGCAGTAATTCCAGTGACTGATCTCAGTGATGCCAGAGGGCTCAGCCTGTCCTGCTGTGTGTCCCCAGGCCCAGGCTGTCACCCTCACCGTGGCCCAGGCCTTCAGGATCGCCTTTGAGTTCTGGCAGGCAGCCAAGGAAGGTGAGTTTGTGTCCCTGCCCTGCTCACCCTCAGGGCTCACTCTGGTGCTCCCCTTCCCCTGCCTCCCCCCAATTCCAGATCTCCTTGCACAGCCCTGTAGGTCCAGGCAGGTTCTGGCTGTGCTCCCTGGGGGTTTCATGGTGGGCTTTCAGCCTTCACCTTCCAGGAGGTGCCAGCAGCACCACGGCTGGCCCTGGCCCTGGCCCTGGCCCTGGAGGCTTGCAGGCAGTGCTGGGATTTCCTCTTTTGCAGAGAAGGAGAAGAGGGAAAGGTCCATCCTGGCAGCAGAAGGGACGAGCAGCCCTGGCTCAGGAGCTCCTGCCCACCCTGTCACACGTGAGCCACCAGGGCAGAGCCTGAGGGGGGGAGACTGTCCCTGAGGGGGGGAGAATTGTCCCTGAACAGGGCAGGGATGGTCCCTGAGGGATGGGGGACAGTCCCTGGGCAGGGCAAAGGACACCCTGAGGGATGGAGAATTGTCTCTGAGGGGTGGGGGATGTCCCTGAGGGGTGGCGGATGTCCCTGAGGGATGTGGGATGTCCCTGAGGGATGGAGAATTGTCCCTGAGGGATGGAGAATTGTCTCTGAGGGATTGGGGATGTCCCTGAGGGACGGGGGATTGTCCCTGAGGGATGTGGGATGTCCCTGAGGGATGGAGAATTGTCTCTGAGGGGTGGGGGATGTCCCTGAGGGGTGGCGGATGTCCCTGAGGGATGTGGGATGTCCCTGAGGGATGGAGAATTGTCCCTGAGGGATGGAGAATTGTCCCTGAGGGATGGAGAATTGTCTCTGAGGGATTGGGGATGTCCCTGAGGGACGGGGGATTGTCCCTGAGGGATGTGGGATTGTCCCTGAGGGATTGGGGATGTCCCTGAGGGATGTGGGATTGTCCCTGAGGGATTGGGGATGTCCCTGAGGGATGTGGGATTGTCCCTGAGGGATTGGGGATGTCCCTGAGGGATGTGGGATTGTCCCTGAGGGATTGGGGATGTCCCTGAGGGATGTGGGATTGTCCCTGAGGGATTGGGGATGTCCCTGAGGGATGTGGGATTGTCCCTGAGGGATTGGGGGATGTCCCTGAGGGACGGGGGATGTCCCTGAGGGATTGGGGGATGTCCCTGACAGGGCAGGGGACAGCCTGAGGGATTGTCCCCAGACACAAACAGCTCCTGGCAGGGTTCTGAAGCCAGGAGGAGCAGCAGTTCAGAGTCCTTGGCTGCTAGCTGGGTGCTTCCTGCTTCCCCCCCAGGCATCCCCTGCTGCCACCCCAAATCTGTTTGCTCCTGCCCCAGGCAAATTGGCTGTGATGTCCTTAAGAGCTCAGCCTGGCTCTGCAGGTCCCCAGCTCATTTTTGGGGCTGTGTCAGACCCCAGACCCTCACCCTGCCCTGGGCTGAGGGAGGAGGACAGCCCGGTGCCCCTGAGCAAGGAGGGCTGTGTGAAATAAAACAATTAAATCCCAAATCCCTCCCAATTCAGGGCTGGCCCTGGCTCCTCTGCTGCCTCTGAGGTGCAGGGCAGGGAGAAGTGGGGCAAAAGGCTCATCCCTCCCCGTGCTGGCCACAAGATAAGAGGATTTGGCACGCACAAAAACAGCAGCAAACTGGGCTCCCTTCCAGGCTGGCACGTCCTGAGATTCCTCAGGACTGGAGGAATCTCTCCCAAAGGGTGGCACCGTGGCATCAGCCCAGCCTGGGGCTGGGATGAGCTGTTGGGATGAGCTCCACATCTCCCTGGGGGTGCCAGAGCTGGAATGCTCCTGCCCCAGCCCAGTGCAGGCTGCAGGGGAGGCTCTGGGCTGCACCCAGGGCAGGGTAAAACACCCCTCAGTGTAAAACCCTGCTGCAGCTCTGGGCTCAGCTGAGGGGCTGCTCTGGCTCTGAGCATCACTGGGCACCCAGGAGCCTTCCCAAAAGCTGCTGGAGGCACTGGGAGTCCCTCAGGAGCCTGACCTGCCTCAAGCACAGCCCCCAGAGGGGTGGGTGCAGCTCCCCAGTGCCTGTTCCTCTGCCCTCACTGCCCCCCCTGCTCTGCCCACAGCAGCAGCCTTGGGGAACTTGCTGGATTTTGAGGACCCTGGCAGCAGCACGGAGTCCCCAGAGCTGGACAACAGCAACTTTGGGCCCAGCCCCTCGGTCAACAACAACGTGCTGTGGGTAAGGGACAGCCAGGAGAGCCCCAGCTGCCCCCCAGGGCTGAACTGGGCTGAACTGGGGGCTCTGGGGGGTGTCACAGCTCCAGGAGTGTTTGGTGCTTGGGGGATGAATGAGCAGCATGGCCAAGCCCTGTGAGATAATTGGATATTCCTGCTCTGGAGCAGCATTTCTCAGGGGTTTGTCACTGAATTGGCACCACCCAGCTGCTCTGTCCAAGGGCAGGAATCAGTGCCTTGGTGGCTGCTGGTCCCTGCTCACCAAACCCAGCCTGGAGCCCGTGGTTCCTCCTGTTTTCCTGTCTGTGGGAGCTGGGATGGCTCCTTGGGAATGTCCTCAGTCCCCCGGGTTAATTTTTAATTAATGTTTCCTGGATCTCTGAGAGAAGAGTGGTGCTGCAGCCCTGGGTGTGCACCCAGCAGGAGCCCAGTGCTCCATCGTCCCCCTCAGCCTGGGACACGGTGGGGTTACTGGGATTTTGGGAAGGAATTCCTGGCTGGGAGGGTGGGCAGGCCCTGGCACAGGTGCCCAAGCAGCTGTGGCTGCCCCTGGATCCCTGGCAGGCTGGACAGGGTCCCTGCCATGGCAGGGGTGGGATTTAAGGGATTTCCCTTCCCAGCCAAACCCTTCCATGGTTCTGTGACCCCCAGGCAGGCTGGGGCTGGCCCTTGAAGCCCCTCTTGCCCTGGGGTCTCTCCCCAGCACAGCCCCTCCCTGGAGACCCCTGCCTGCTGGATTTTGGGGGGCTGCAGGGTAAATTGCAGCCTGAGGATTTCCAGGTTAAAGCTGAAGATCAGCCCTAAGGCTGAATCAAATCCTGGAGGCTTCTCAGCAATCTCCAATCCCTCCCTGCCTGCAGAGTTCTCATACTTGACTTATTAATTGCATTAATTGCATTGAGGCTGTAGGTTCCTCTCAGGATTTTGGGAGCAGCCTGCTCTGGGTGCAGCAGGGCCCTCACACAGAACATGGAAAAGCTTTCCTGGAAACCCTGGCAGCAGGGCAGAGACACAGGCTCCCAGAGGTGCTTCTGCTGTCCCTGCTGTGCCAGGGCAGAGCTGCTCTCCTGGTCCTGGTCCTGGTCCTGGTCCTGGTCCTGGTCCTGGTCCTGGTCCTGGTCCAGAGCAGCCCCAGGGCTCCTGGAGCTGTGCCCAGCCCCTCTGGCAGCAGGACAGGCAGGGCTGGGGCAGTGAGGGGTGCTGGTTTCCATCTCCTGGATGGAGCTGGAGGCAGAGTCAGCTTTTTGGGGGATGGAAGGAAGGGCCAAACCCCAGCACCACCTGGAGTTCACCTTTCCCCTGCAGAGCAGGCAGGTTGCAGAGGAGGTGACTGAGGC